TTTTGTTAATGTACAACCATATTTGCTGCTATCAATATCAGAGATGTTTAGTGAGAATTATTCAAACATAATCTCAATGCTTACTATCATTTTGAACAGTCCAATTTTTTTGTTGTATGCTGATCTTGATTGTCCAGAAGGTCTTAATGGAATTCACTGACTAATAGATTTTGATAGAATCACATCATTAAATAATTTTTCTCTTTTCTCTATAACTTTTTAACTTTTCCCTCAACTAATCTGAATTGTTAGTTTTATGTCATTTGTTATTTGATATCTGTCAAATAACAAATGAACACAAAACTGATCCATCTGTCCAGATATATCCATATGTTATTTCTAAACACCAACTAAGTTTAATCTTGCAAAAAATATCTTGAAGAAATATGAAAACATTTTTAAAAGTTAACTTAAAATTTAGAGAAAATCTATGGAAGAAGACATAAATATATATACGTGTTGCTTGCTTTATAATTTTTTTTTTAATTCTCACTTCCAACAAGGTTGCAAGCAACCTCTATTAAGTTAGGAGTTACTTTAAAATAGAGTATAGGGTTAAAAACCTAGGAAATATTTAACTGAAAACTTAAAAATTTCTAGGTTGTGTATTAATGAAAACATAAAGATGGGTATAAGGTAGCAGTTTCAGAATCAAAGGGAAAATGTAAAAGAAAGAAAACTTAAAGAGAGTGCCTTACATATTGTATAAATGAGTTAAGGAAATGAAAATGCTCTAGATTGATTATATTAGAGAAATAGCATAAATAAGGAAGGCTATAGCCTGATGACGACGACGATGATGATGATGATGATGATGATGATGATGATGATGATGATGATGATGGTGATGATGATGATGATGATGATGATAATGATGATGATGGTAATAATGATGACAATGATGATCTTTAAAAATATCAAGAGCAATAGCATTAGCCTGATGATGGGATGGTAGTTGAACAAGTCAAAAAGCTCTCTAGAATTTTGAAAAAATTTTGAAATAACAGATGTCACTTTACAGCAGCCTGGAAAACAAGACTTGATAAGCATTTGTTAAATAGTTTCAAAAGTATATATCTTCATAGAATAATAAATACCCCTATAAAATATAATATCTCTTCATAGAATAATAAATACCCCTATAAAATAATCTTATGGACATTGTGGACATTAGTGGAGGAACAGCAGCAATTGCCAACATGGAGGAGACATCTATAGATAATAAGCGTTCAGATAAAGTATTGCTTAACTGTCTTTAAAAGAATCTTGTTATCTTTCCAAAATTTCCAAATTCTCTTGAGGAAGAGCCAAAAAACACCTTTGACCTTCTTATTACAGATAAGCCAAACTGTATTTTTCACTAAAAACAGGTGATCTTCTTGGCTATACACCACAAGGTTGTGCTCACTTTATGAGCACATGTGAATATGCCATTGCTAGTACTAATGCAAACCAATCTACCAACAGTTCACCAAGACTTGTTTGGGCAAAATTGGATTTTAAGAAAATTTAGATCACTAAACAGGAGTAATTTATTTTTGGTATTAACTAAAAAAACTAATTCCAAAAATACTCCATTTCTATGTGCAAAAAAAAAAAAAATGTAAAAAACTCTATAAAAAAAATGTAAAAAACTCTATAAAAAAAATGTAAAAAACTCTTTGAAACACTTTAAAAAACACTTTATATAATCATAATCATAATAGGAACAGAAAGTGAAATTTGCAGTGCTTTAAGTAATTTCTTTCATTCTGTTTTTTTATGAAACCATCAAATGGGCTTCCCTTTTTCAATCAAAAACAGACAATAGCAAAATTGTCTGTTTTTTTCAAAGCAATTGATCCAAATAAGTCCACTGAATTAGATAGCATCCACCCGCAGGTCCTCGCAAATTGTTATTCAAGTATGGCTTTACCTTTGAGTATAATCTATAAAGTTCACTTAGAGACCAGTCTCCTTATCATCAGTTCCTGGAAAAGTAATGGAATCAGTTATACTGGAGGTATAACTGATTCCATTACGAGTTATATCGTGCATCATTATCAAGCTACAGGTGTCATCTTGAATACAAAATGTGAATTTGTATTCAAAAAATCATGTGTGACTTGTTAGAAACTTTTGACATCATTACAGAGGCTTTACAACAAGGATATCCTGTTGATGTCCTTTGATACAGTGCCTCACAGACTACTATACATAAACTTTATGCTTATGGTGCGTGTGGTCAAATTCTTGCATAGATTAAGGCATGGCTAAATAAAAGGCAACAATATGTCAAGCTAGGACCAAATACAACAGATTGGAAAGATATAGTTAGCAGCATCCTACAGGGATCCGTCCTCGGGCCCCTTTTTTTGTGTTGTATATTAATGACCTGCCTCATAATTTGACACACAATATAAAATTCTATGCTAATGATAGCAAAATCATTAGGGTAATCAGCTCACCATCAGATGTGGATTATTTACAAACTGATAACAATAAAACTGTTGAATGGTCAATAAATTGGCAGATGAAATTTAACATGAAAAAATGTAAGGTCATGCATATTGGTCAAGGATCAACTAAATTGAATCTCAAATAATGTATGTATGACAACAATGGAACACAATTCATATTAGCTGTTACTCATATTGAATGAGATTTAAGTGTACTCATCTCAGATAGCCCTAAAGTTTAGATACAAGTAGATTCTGCTGCTATGAAGGTCAATCAAATACTTGAAGTTTTTAAAAAGCATCATAAAGGTTTAAATATGTGGAAATTGCTGTATACAACATATATTTGACCACATTTAGAAATTGCAATTCAATCATGGTCACCATATCAAGCAATAGACATACAAATTTTAAAAAACAAAAATCTACACAAGTAATTTTTTCAATATTAAAACCGCCATACAAAGATAGACTCAAAATACTAGGACTTACCACTCAAACTGAGAGAAGGATCAGGTGTGATATAAAATAATATTTTAAAATAATAAGTTGGATTGATCTCGTTAACTGGCATCACCCACTAAAGTCCCTTTCTTTCTTTCATTGCAATGGAGATGCTGGTGGTGCATGTAGTTATGTTATGCGAATAAAGTCAGCTCATAAAGCATTGCAAATAGAGGCAAAATTTCTTTACCAATCATATGGTCAAAGACTAGAACTCTTTGCCATAGCAAATCGTTTATACTCTAGGATTGAGAAGTTTTAAGGAGCAGTATGATTGACACATTGTGAGGAGAAACATTACAGTCTGAGTTAATGTTATTTAAAAAGTGATAACATTAACATTATGGTTACCATTTGTAGCTTTTGCTTGTCTAGTATTTTGAATATAATATTTAATTTTTTTATTAATGAACTATGTACATAAACAATTTTGGGTTCTGCACAGGAATGCTAATACTACTCCTTCACAAGTTTTTTTTTTTAAATAACTTGTTCAGAAAATATCTAATAATAAAATAAATGATAGGAAATTAATCGACTCACCATTAGGTGCTAGATACTGCTAAACATACTTACATTGACAGGCTTTCAAGGATTGAGAGAAGAGAGTTGCAATGGTAAATTGACTAATAGTCAAGTACATTTTACCTTGTAAAACTTTAATTTTTGTTTTTAATATTTATTTCAATTTCAATGCTGATAGAAACCATACTTTTTTCTTTTGCAATGTAACAGAAATTAGTTTGAGTTTAGCTAGTCAATGTTACAAAAAGAATTTATATAAGATGGTGAATATTAGCATTTTAGTGTAATATTTTTTTACATCAACATAAAATTAGAAAACTTTACATTGATATTCAGACCTATGCATTTATAAAATTTTTGATGAGCATAAAATTTTCAAAATAACTATTTGAAAAAGCAGCAGTCAAGAGAGGCTGTAGTCAAGGTTTACCCTTACTGGTTAGTTGGAACCTTGCCAAACTAAATATTAGTTAACTAAACCTTGAACTTTGGCACATGGCTTGTTTTATGCTAAATCACGGTAAATTTGAGTTTATTTTATTTTTCATGATACAAATAGTCCAAAATAGGATTAAGTCCAGAAGAATAAGAGAATTTTGAAAATAAGAGAATTTGCAATTTTTTGAGTTTATTTTAAAATAAGATTTGAAATATTTTTCCTTTATTTTAGCATAATTTTAGTATATGATCATTAAAAGAGGCTTTCACAGGAAGGCGTGCAATCGCACGTCTTTATATAACCACGCAAAAACTAATATGTTTTAACAATTTAAACAAGGCTTTTGACATATTTTCTAAATTTAAAAATGGGCTACAAAGACGTACCTAATCTTATTTTTAAAATAAAATCGTAAAAAGAAATAAAATCTTAACGAAAGAGAAAAAAAAAAAAAAACTTAGTTAAAGCAAAAACACAAAAAAATAAATATATATTACATTTTAAAATGAAAAAGTATATACTAACAATAAAAACAGAATAAAACTTTGTTCTACAATTTAATGAGAAAATAGAAGTGTTAACTTTTCAATATATAATTTAATACTAATACAATAACTAAGAAGTATCATTTGACCCAACTAAAACAAAACTCAACAAACTAAAATACTTAGTCTATTTAATTTACGCATTAAAAAACTATTTCAATCTTTGTTTTAACATTTGTACTTTTTTTTATTTTTTATTTAATATGTTTCAAAAGATAAACATTTCTCATAAAAAATACATAATTATATAAATAAAAAAAACCAACACTTTATTAATACTTATTTTAAAAATATATACATATATATATATATATATATATATATATATATATATATATATATATATATATATATATATATATATATATGTATATATATATATATATATATATATATATATATATATATATATATATATATATATATATATATATATATATATATATATATATATATATATAATAAAATTTATGATATTATTATACGATTTCAATAACACATTGAAGAATATTTCATTTTAATTATTTGCAAATTTACCAATTTTTTCAGGGCTACAGTTAGGCTGGTCAGAATGGAGTTTTTGGTCTCTTTGTGATGTCTCTTGTGGTAATGGAACTATGAGTAGAGGAAGATTGTGTCTTGATGTAATGAATCCATGCATTGGAAACAGTATTGAAGTAGCAAGTTGTTACATCAACATAACATGTTTAGGTATTTATAGTTTCATTGTATAGTAACAAATGATACTTCTTAGTTATTATATTAGTATTTAATTATATATATTTATTATATATGTATATATATATATATATATATATAAAATATATATATATATATATATATATATATATATATATATATATATATATATATATATATATATATATATATAAATGGAGAGAGGGATCTGCTTAAAGACATGGGGCGAGTGGATGTAGAGTAGTTAGTTATTTTGTTTTTTAAAAAGTTGGTTCTTTTAAAGATTAAAAGTTATGTCTTGAAAATTAACTCTATTTAGATTGGTTTGAATCTCTATTTGGAATCTGATGTTTTTAAATATCTCAATTATATTTTTTCTGACTTAGTCTAACTGTGCAGTAGTTTTTTTGCGCATTACCATCAACCTGTCATTTCGGTAATGAATGCTTCTGATTTGGCAATTATATTGATTTGTTTGTTTATATTTAGTTTAGTTGCTATGCTTTTTGTTTTGAGGTTTATTGAATTTTCTAGTTTTTTAGGGGCTTTTTTATATGTTTTGTGATGTTTTCTTTTAAAATGATATGTCATTTTTTAATTTTTTTTGAAATTGGTTTTGGGATTTCTAAAGCTTTATCGATTTTACTAAGTTAAATAGTTCTGTCTTAAAGATTTTTAATTCTTTGCATTGTGGTGGTGTCTATTATACTATACTATAGTATAGTATAGCTCTAACTTAGTTTATTGAGCATGATAGTATTTTCTTTATAGTATATGCACAAAACAGCATCACTACATATTACGTCCCTAACGGCATTTAGTTGAGCACTCTCTTGCATAAACTTCAAAAAATGGAAAAATTTAATCTTAACTACTCGTTGAAAAATATTACAATAGATAGAACTACAAACTAAATCTAATTGCAAAAATAGAAAGCTTTATTAAAGAATACGCTGGGAAACATATTTCCACATGAACAAAACTGAAACACAAAAACACAAGAAAATTTTGGTATAAAAATGAAAAAAACACCACCACAATTCAAAGAATATTTTTATTCAAAATTGTTGTATGTTTCTCAGAAAATTATTTTAACTGTACTTTTTATCTGAAATGCAACTTACTTAGTACTTAGTTTTACAGTAAGAATGGATTTGCGTAATTTTGAAAAACTGTCAAGTGATATTCATATTAAAGAAAATGTTTAAAAAAAATCATTTAGGCTAAATTTTATTGATTAAAACTATATAATGAATGCACACCATTAAATTTAAAATTATCATTTTAGTCGAAGCTTGCTGTCTCCATTTTTTTTTTGTTCTTGGAGTCTGTATAATGTTAGTCACAATCTACAAACTTACTAATTTATTCGATGGGAGTTTAATTTATAACAGTTTCGGTATATGACGTCATCGTATAATTTTTTTTTTCAAGATGTTGCATTATTTTTTTGCCGCAATCTCCAAATCATGTTAATTGTATAACTTATTACTAAATCCTTAAAAAAAGTTTATGATGCAATTAAAAGTTAAATTTATAAAATTTATAAAAATAAAAATTTAATATATAATGAATATTTACAGTAATACTTATTGATTTAAACTAAATATAAACTAGATACTAGAAGGATAATTTTAATTTAAAGTATAAACTGAATAATAAGTTAATTTAAAGTATAAACTGAATATGTCTAGAATGTGTCTAGAATGTGTCTAGAATGTGTCTATTAAATTCATTGTGTGTTTAGAATGGAGTCTAGATACATAGAATGTGTCTAGACACAAAGAATGTGTCTAGAATGTGTCTATTAAATTTTATGTGTCTAGAATGGAATATATATATATATATATATATATATATATATATATATATATATATATATATATATATATATATATATATATATATATATATATATATATATATATATATATATATATATATATATATATATATGTGTGTGTGTGTGTGTGTTAGGGTGTCCCAAAAAAAAACATTTTTGAAAATAATCTGCTCTCATCCCCTAAATGTGTTCTATCTAATACAAAAACACTAGGTTTAAATTTTTTTTGAATAAAAAATATTTTAAGGGGTCCCTCAAGACCCTCGAATATTTAATGGGTCCCTAATATTTTTGAAAAAAAAGTTTTTCAAAAATATGTCAACCTGGTACATATTTTTGAAAAACTTTTTTCTCAACAATATTAGGGACCCATTAAATATTCGAGGGTCTTGAGGGACCCCTTAAAATATTTTTTATCAAAAAAAAATTAAACCTAGTGTTTTTACATTAGATAAAACACATTTAGGAAATGAGTGCAGATTATTTTCAAAAATGTTGTTTTTTGGGACACCCTAATATATATATATATATATATATATATATATATATATATATATATATATATATATATATATATATATATATATATATATATATATATATATATATATATATATATATATATATATATATATATTATGTATTTATATATATATATATATATATATATATATATATATATATATATATATATATATATATATATATATATATATATATAGTATATATATATATATATATATATATATATATATATATATATATATATATATATATATATATATATATATATATATATATAGTATATATATATATATATATATATATATATATATATATATATATATATATATATATATATATATATATATATATATATATATATATATATATATATATATATATATATATATAGGCTTGGACAGGAATGGCATAACTGTAACTGACCACGCTAATGTTTTAATTTCTTTACAACTTGACCACGGCTATTTTGATGTTTTAACAATTTGAATGCAATAAAAAAAGTGTTACGTTATAAATATCTTATAAAAAAAACGTTTTTTTTTTCTAAATAAAGTTTTTCTAATAAAAAAAGTGTTACGTTATAATTATCTTATAAAAAAACCGTTGATTTTTTTCTAAAGTCATTTACTTTATGCAAAGACTTTAAATAAAACCATAAAATTAATTATAGTTATTGTTTAATAAACGCTTGTGTAAATTAATAAAAAACGTTATAAATAAGTTTTTTTTATGTAGGCATTTATTTTTATGATAAATTTAAACGTTTGAAACTATTTTTTGAAACTATGTCTTCCTAAAACATTTTTGAATCATTATTTTTAGAAAGAATTTTTTTAAGTTACTTAAATTTGTGAATAAGTTCAAAAGCTTTTGTGACTACTAACTTTATACATTTTATGTAAATTACACAAGAATATAAAATAACTTTATTTACTTATATAAGAATGTATTTAGTTGATTTAATGAAAAAGTTTTAAAGCATTTTGTAATGTTCATATGATTAATTTTTATGATTAAACTTGCGATTTTTTAAAATATTTGATATAAACATTTTATTTTTTGTAAACATTTTTTTTTTTTTTTTTTTAATTTCCTTAGAAATAAATGAGATTAAATCTTTTATAATAATTTTAAAATTCGTTGCGCGAAGCGCTTATTAATAAAGTTGTAATGCTCGAATTTAAATTAAATTAAAAAATTAAATAAATAAAATGCGCATGTGATTTAAATAAAATAAAATTGCCATTTTATTTTATTTAAAATCGCACGCGCATTTTATTTATTTAATTTTTTATCTTTTTTTACAAATAAAAAAGTTCAAAACCTTTTTTTAAATAAGGGGAGTTTCCACTCATCTGTTTTTTCACGGGAACAGGAAAGGGACGGGAAAAATAATCACGTGGGTATGCATAGTATAAGTTTTAATATGTCCAAAGAAAAACTACGGATGCTCACGTGATTATTTTTCCCTTTCCTATCCCGTTCCCATGAAAAAACGGATGATTGGAAACTCACTTTTAGACTCACTAATTAGAGCATAAAATTAGTAAAAATTACTATTTTATATTGTAAAAATTGTTTAAAAAAAGACTACATTATTTTTTTAAAGAATTTTTTTTTTTTTTTACAACTTTTTTGACAAAATAAATGTTTATACTATTTAAAAATATTATATAAAACACTTTTTAATAAATTTAATAAAATGTGTTCTTTTATTAAACCAATCATTAGTAGTAATTTGTTAATTAATTTAAAAACTTTTGCATAACTTTAATAACACTTAAAAAGATAAGTTTTAATAATGTTTATTTCATACATAATTAAAAACGTAACAAAAAGTTTCGCTTCGAGTTTAAGTTTTTATTTTCATTTTAGTGCTTATATAATTTCTTTTTTGTTATGAATTTGTTTTTTGTTTCTTTTTTCGTTAGGAATTTTTTTTTGTTAGTTTTTTTTTTAAATTTTTTCCTAGTTTAAGTTTAGCTTAGCATTTCTACATTCAGAACATTTCTGAAATTTTTAACTCATCAAAACATATAAACATTGTTTTTTTTTTTTTGTTTTTTTTTATTTTACTTCACCTCCTCAAGGCCGAGAAGGCCACTACAGACGAGGAGGCTACTTATTTTGTGGCTATAACCCTCTCTCAACTCTATAACTCCGAAACACGAACCTTGGCGAACAAGGCCGCTGCGCGGAGAAACAAGTTGAGCGCGGTACTACCAGGGACGTGGTGGGTATCGAACTCGGAACCACTTGTTTATAAAGCGAGCGCTCTACCACTACACCACTATCGCAAATGTTTATTAAACAATTGTGGTCAAGTTGTCAAAAAATAAAATTATTTGCATGGTCAGCAATAGCGTTCCAAAAAAAAATTATACATATATCAAGCCTGATATATATGTATAATTTTTTACTAAATCACAAATATTCTTTGTGATTTAGTAAAAAATTATACAATTATTTGATTTTATGGTTGTAGTAGAAAAAATATCTTTAAAAAAACAACAACAAAAAAACGCTAGCTTAAAAAGATATTGTGATGATGTCATATACCGAAACTGTTATGAATTAATTAACGCATGGAATAAATTATCAAATCTGCGGATTGCGGCTAACATTATACAGAACCCGAGAACCA